TATCCATCCCAGAAAGCGAGCTTCTAGACTGTTCACTTGGGCTTCAAGATTGAGCTTGGGATCATGCAGTTGCCCCCACCTTCAAGCTCGGGGGAATAAAGAAAGAGGGAGCTACCCTAGAAAGGAAGGGGCAAAGGAAAGCCCATTATGAAAGATATACAAGCAGGAGTCGAAACCCGTGACCCTTTTAGGATAGGGGTCAGTCAACTATGGTTTTGACTAGAGCCTTTCTAGGAACACTTGATCAAAAGATGCATGCACAGCTCATGTGGGGTTAGATTACTCTTTTATTACCTTATTTATTACCTTACTGCCCCCTCCCTTAATGGATTCAGAGCCAGGTCAAGATACATGGTAGTCATCATACCTACGAGTGAAGCTAAGGAGAGTGACTACTGACCGCTTTCTGGCTTACGGGCGTGCTTTTGATCCCTAATATTAGTATTGAAGTTGGTCAAACCCCTTATTTTCAATTGATGTCGCCCGCTGGCTGTCCGGACGGCTTACCATTCATATCCCATTCTCATTCCCACTCCTGCTCCGCGCTTTCCTGATATAGTTCTCCGCCCTCTGATTTCCAACCCGCCTCTCTCCTTTCCGTAGGACTTCTCCTTCCTTTTTGCAAGCTGGATGGCTTTTAGGTCTTCGGCTTGCGGATCAAATCATACCAACCGTATATCCATCCTTTCAAGCGAATGAGTATACGAACAATAGAGAAGAATCTGAGTGATCGAATGACTATGAAAGACGGGGGCAAAGCACGAATGCAACAATCGAGATTAGAGGGATTCTCCGTTGTTTAATGGGAACTGTGTGGGAGAGTGGTACACGCAAGGTCTCGCTCTTTTTTCTAGGAGCGCTCCTTTTCAAAGTCCTGTTTTTGGGGGTATGCGAAGCTCAATATCTAGAGTCTGGGGCGTTTCCAATCAAATCTTATCTGTGGGGCCGATAGTAGTACTTTTTCGCTTATTATTTCTCTTTCCAGGCGAGGGCACCCCTCTTCAATTTCCTTTTGAACAGTCATTTCAATCTTTTTCTTCATTGATAAGTCATCGGTGGTTAGGCCTTTTCTTTTCAACAAAGGAGATTTTTCAAGGTCTCAAAAAAAGATGTAGTAGTGAATAAGGATTGGTGCAGAAAAGGGGGCGGCCCCTCTTATTCTCCTCTTCGTCACAGTACAAAGCTTCAAGTAGATAGAAAAGATAACGGTATGAAAGTGGCATATAATAGTACAAGCTTAGGAAGGGTGATGTAAGTAAATTCTTTCTTTCAGCTTCTACCCGATTCTGCCCGACTGAATGACTAAATTAAAGGGCATACGCCCGGGGGCATAATCGGATGTCGGCCGAGCGGGGTCGACCGTATAGATCGACTTTTTTAACCCGCTTAGAGCCCTTCCCTTCGCTCCGCCTCTTTTCACGCCTCTCCATGTCTTTCTGAATACACTTATCCATTTCCCCTTCCCAATAATTGAGCATCCCTTTATAATAGCGAAGGCATTTAACGTTTTTTTGAGCTCTTCCTCCTTCGATAATGAGGAAAAAGGGCGAGGCTCCGGCGCAGGCTCAGCAGGAGGGGCCAGCGCAGGCTCAGCAGGAGGGGCCGGCGCAGGTTCAGTAGGAGGGGCCGGCTCAGGCTTAGCAAGAGAGGGGCTGTTGAGATCTAGCCCCGGCTCAGGAGCTGGAGATTGGTTTAGATCGAGCTCCGGGTGCCCCGTACTCGAAGGCCCTGCATCGCTTCTGCCGCCTCCAACGGAAAGAGGGAGTCCGTCCATGGAAGACAGAATCCAATCGATCCCGTCCACAAAGAAAACAAAGAAAGGCCAAGTCAAGCCCCAGTCCCAAAGCATACGAGAAATCCACAGTACTGGAGCGATTCGAGAAGAATGATTAGGGTCATATTCTATCCTTTCTACAATGCCCATAGACGAAGTGCTTGGTTTCAGATCAATTCTTCGCTGCAATCGCTTCGATCCACCCCCTCGGTGAAAAACCATAATAAGCCCTGAGGAATTCCTACCAGCAGACTTCCCTGTACTCAAAGTGAATTGTCTAAGTGGTCTCCCCTCTTGGCTTTGTCTCATTGTCTATCTCGTAATCATTCGATTCCGTCCTACTCCTACTCCTCTTTCATTGTCGTTGGTCCTTCTTTCACTAATGATCTCACCATTTTCTAGTAGTTCGCGCGAACACGCGAGGGACTATCCTTTCTATGTCAATCTATGTCAATTTCCTTTTGGAACTTTCAGCGGAAGGAGAGCGTTAGCTACCCTGCTTTCTATTATGATATTAAGAAAGCAAGTTCAATCAAAGAAGAAATAGAGGCAGCTGAAGAGGGAAAATACCTTTGAAGAAGGGCCCGTGCGCTTGTAGTTTGAAAGGGCTTCCATAAATAGGGATTCTTCTTTCACTGAGAACCTTATTTAGATTTAGCGGCTGCTGTCGTACGCTTTAGATAAAGGGATTCTCTAATAGAAGATTCTCCCCCAGAAGCTTTTCCA